AAATATATATATATATATATATATATATATATATATATATATATATATATATATATATTTGTTTTTATAAAAGGACACTTCAGAGATCGCTTGAATAATATATTATAAAATGCCCTTTTCCCTTGACAGTCAATAAATAGCTTTAAAATCAACGTAGCAAAATCACGTTAATTATAAGACTATTTGTCGCGATCGGCAAGGGAAAAGGATAGTCTTAGGGGCATTTTATAATGTTTCGCGCGATATGAAGTGTCCTTTCATACAAATATCTTATTTTTTTAAAAATAGCACGCAAGAATTTTTGGCATGCGTTCCCTTACTTCTAACATCGTCAATCCAGAATTCCACAGCAATAGAACTTTGAGTAACGGTTATCTTCAACAAAGAATATATTTGTATACTTATGCATTAAGTCAAACTGAACAAAAAATCTCCTACCACTTTGCAAATAATCACATAGATTTTTAGATATTAATTAAAGAAAATTTGTGCATTATCGCATATAATCATATGATAATTTTCTTTCATTAATAACTAAAAATCTACGTGATTACTTACAAAATGATAAAGTTTTTTGTTCAATTTGACCTAATACAAGCATACAACACATACATTGCCATTACAGCTGATCATATCGCGCAGGATTATTTACTAGTCGTCTTTAAGGGGACTAGAGGGTTAGATTACCTGAAAATCGTGCTTGTTCTTTCACAATTTTTTATAACAAACAGAATGAATATGAATGAAATATAATTAAAATAATTTTTATAATATAATATAATTAAATAATTATATGTAATATAATATAATATATAATATAATTAAAATGATATAATTAAAATAATTTTTAAATAATTGAATAATTTTAGGTAGAAAATTTCCGTAAGTTTATCGTTATCGTGTGAACTGACAAATTCATGAAAATATTTAATTTTGAAATATTAATTTTTTTACTATAAAAGAACTGAAAATTTAATAATATTCCATTAAGATATTTGCAATTTTGTTAACTTTTACTCAATTTCTATTATAGTGGTTCACACGATAACGATAAACTTACGGAAATTTTCTACCTAAAATTCAGCTTAACTGAACCATCGAGAGTCAAGATATTACTGCAAAATGACGATCTTGAAAAGAAAAACGAAATATATTTTACCTGCATGTATCATACACTTATATTGAG